AAAACCGGGTTCCAATTCCCGCGGGGGGATGGTTTAATTTGCAATCGGTGTCTTACGAATTTCATAAGTCAGTTTGCACAAGGCTAGTTTCGGAGCTCGGAATGTCCTACAAAAAAGGTTGAGTAAATCGGACAGGACACATTGGAGGACAGGCGGGTCAGGGAGACATATAACGACTTACAAAATACTGCGTGGAATAGATAAGGTAACCGAGTACAGGTTGGTTCCCAGAGAGGGGACACAGAAACAAGGGGGTCACAATTGGAAGCTGAGACTCAGACGAGTCCCATAGGGATGTTAGAGAAGTATTTTCTTCAGTCATAGAGTTAGTCAGGAGGTTGAATAAGCATAACAAGGATTAGTGAGGGCAGGAACCATAAATACTTTAAGACGAGGTATGACAAAGCTCTGATGCAGAGAGAGGAGGACCTAGTAGCTATCAGTTAAGTGGCCGGGACCAGGAGACTGTGTATCGACCCTTGCAAACCACAATTAGGTGATACAATTTAGGCAAGAGTACACAGACGTGCAACCACAATTAGGTGAACAACACACACACACACACACACACACACACACACACACACACACACACACACACACACACACACACACACAACATAACATTAATTGTGACCACGACAAGTGTATTGATCAGTAACAACCTGCACTAGCCAAAGGACTCGAACCCATGCTTGCTTTGCCTGCCTAATGTGGGCGAAAACACATGACGCGCCCTTATTCCACTGAACCATTGGGTTCGAGTTCCTTGGGCTATGCATGTTGTTATTTCTCACACACACACACACACACACACACACCACACACATCACACACAACACACACACACACACACACACACACACTCACACTACACACACACACACACACATATATATCATTCACCACGCAAAAACAAGCGGTATATTACAAAGAAAGATCGCAGAGAGCAGATTCGAAACTGCTACTGGGAACGGTCAAGATCCCAGGCATCGCTCTAGTCACTTGCCGTTTGGGACTAAAGTGTGATATATAAATATAATATAATATATAATATATCTATATATAAAAAAAAATATAATATAATATATATATATATATATATATATATAATATATACACACACACATATATAATATGTTGCCGATGCCCCTCAAGGGAATGTGATAACCAAATCTTTTGTTTCCTTTCCACGAATTCTGTAAAACAATATTACAGAATTGGTAGCGGAGAGCCGAGCTGCATGGCCGTGATTCCACCTGGCAGCTTCCATGGTAATTGAATTATTGGTTAACCAGCACGTCAAGACACAGTCAATCTCGTTACCTGTGCTGGTTGTTATCCCGCGATGCTATGTTAGAGAGAGAGAGAGAGAGAGAGAGAGAGAGAGAGAGAGAGAGAGAGAGAGAGAGAGAGAGAGAGAGGAAGAGAGAGAGAGAGAGAGAGAGGTTTTTATATATATATATATATATATATATATATATATATATATATATTATATATATATATATATAAAATCAGATATATGGGAGAATGACTCAGACGGAGACAGCATGAGTATTTCCACCCAAACTGATACCCTCTTCTTGGAGAGGCAAAAGACGCTTGTATTAGTGTTTGGAGGTCACTGAAAGAACTGAGACTGGCGCTCCATTATGTGGAAGAAGGACTTTATTGGGAATGTCGGAGCTTTGCAGGAGTCGTGAAAGCGTTTTAATTGGATCTCTTGAGGTCAATGACAGTATCATGGTGGACAAAATATACTTGTGGGAATATCTGATCATGTGATATTTGTATTTGGTGCTGGGATGTGAATTTATTTTAAAGGACAAAAGAGGCACAATACTGTGACTGGAACAATACACAGATAATTCACAGATATAACCTGCACATAGGAGAAAGGAGCTTCGACGACGTTTCTGCCCGACTTGGACCATTTACAAATCCTCATGAACAGAAAAGAGTGTAATGTGATTTTTTGGTTTTTGTTTTTGGGGAAATTCATGGATTACATCTGACATGCAGTGGCCATGAGTTGTGCCACGAATTGGAAAGGGGCAAAACTGATTCATAAAGTAGATGATTCCTAAAATCAGAAAGCCATGGAATCGGCCCGTAAAAGCTCGAAACTGCTGACTTGTGCCGAAGTAGCTGTATCGTTGGGTATCGGCTAATTTTGATGGTATCGGTGCCAGTATCGATGGGTATCAGCTAATTTTGATGACAACGGGGTCAGTATCGGTGTGTGTCGGTTAATTTTGATGGTATTGGCGTAAAACTGAGTATCGGTATTAGAAAAAAAATATCTTCCCATCGCTTCTCGAAACCAAATTTCAGCTATTCCAAAAGCTTAGCGCTTCCCATTAATCCCTAATCTCTTGCATCTCTAATATTTCTCATTTGTTTATCAACACTCCTACCTATCCGTGTTTTAATCAACTCCCTTGTTTTTCCTCAGGTATGGATGCCAGAGCCAGCATCACTGCCCCTGCTGCCAGACGTAAGTGTTCAACATTGTAGAGTGATTCTCGCAACTTCAATAATCAGTAGTGCCTTCATGGAGACATAAGAACACCCGTATGGCACCTCTGGTCTTTAACCTACCTGTAGGGTACCCGAAGTCGGGTTGGTCACTGCTTCTGAAATCAGGTCTTAGACCAGGCCACCTGGTTGATGACCTGATGAGTTTCTGAAGGCAGTTCCTGAGCAGCCGGGCTGTGGTTCGTACGTTGAACTGCGTGCGGCCAGTAATAGCAGCCTGGTTAATCAGGCCTTGATCCACCAGGAAACCTGGTCTGGGACCGGACCGCGGGACCGTTGACCCTTGGAACGCTAGTTAAGGAAAAAATTACATTTCCCAAGGCTTACAAGTCACATTGTAAACGCAGAAAATATTTAGTGGTATACCTGGCGTCTACCTGGATTGTATTCCGGGGGGGTCAGCGCCCCCGTAGCCCAGTCCTTGCCCTGTGAAATGCTTAGCTCAAACATGTGCCAGTAACTGGTGATGAACACTGGTGATGAACAGTGTCGTAACTAATTGGTTTTATTTCCTTGTTACCCGTGTCCATTGACCTCTCTGGGTCGTAAAGCTATTGTGGTCACAGACCAGACCCCCTGTGGTCCCACCACTCTACACTACAACGGTCTCCCTTGCCGACAGGAAAGTCGAGAAGTGGACCCAAGGACTTCAAGCGTAAACAGCAGCATAATTAATAAGGTGATATATTTCTCTCTCTCTCTCTCTCTCTCTCTCTCTCTCTCTCTCTCTTCCTCTCTCTTCTCTCTCTCTCTCCTCTCCCTCTTCTCTCTCTCTCTCTCCTCTCCTTGGGTGTGTCTGTCGTGTTGTGTGCGTGCTGTTTTCTGTGTGTGTGTCTGTGTGTGTGTCGTGGTGTGTGTGTGCGTGTGTGTGTGTGTGTGTGTGTGTGTGTGTGTGTGTGTGTGTGTGTGTGTGTGTGTGTGTGTGTGTGTTGTGGTGGTAAGAGAGAGAAATATATCACCTTATTAATTATGCTGCTGTTTACGCTTCAAGTCCTTGGGTCCACTTCTCGACTTACCTGTCGGCTAACCTGTGATATACTTGATATAGCTTTAAGCTGTGATATACCAATGATCTGTGATATACCTGTGAACCGTGATATACCTGTGGCTTGTGACATACCTGTGAGTAGTGATATACATGTGGCCGGTTTCTAAAGTTATCGTACTCCCACAGCCAACTTACGAGTCAGGCTTGTCTAGTGCTTGCCTAGTCAACCAGGCTGTTACTGATGGTGGCCAGCCTGGTTGATCAGACACTTGGGGGAGGTGTTTCATATATTTTCGTTCTGCAGTATATGGTGGTCATCCTGTATTTTCATATATCATGTTACTTTTTAAGTTACTCGTTTTTATTTTCTATGGATTAATCACAATTCTTTGTCTTCAAGAAGGAATTGGATAGGTTTCCGAAGGCGGTTCCAGGCCATCCGGGCTGTGGTTCGTACGTAGGACTGCGTGTGGCCAGCAGCAACGATCTGGATGATCAGGCCCCGATCCACCACTAGGTCTGGTCATGGAGCGGACTGCGGGACACCCTCCAGGTAGACTCCAGGTGTAAGGGTACACAGATTCTTTACTACCTCCCTAGAACTAGTAAAGAATGTAAACTACTGGGAGCGCCGCAACGTACTTAGAATGTACTTTATGGAACGAAGAGAGAAAGATACCCGATAAAATATACACGGAAGGTACTTAGGGCCTAGTGCCACACCTGCCATGACAAAGGGAGGGAGAAATGTGGGAGGAAGCGTAGAAGAGACCCAGTGAAAAGCAGGGACGTTATGAGCACTTGTCAATATCCATGGGCCTAGATAGATCTTAACCTTTAACCAGTAGATATCAAAGCTATTACCGAGGTAAATGTTGAAAGTTTTTAAAAGGAAACTTGATCACTACAGCTGCCAAAGTTCCAGATCAGCCAGGCTAAGAAAGTTTTAGGTTTTGGTTATATAATATACCTGTAAAAAAAATTTTACAGTTGCATTCAGGGCACATAATAAGTATAGATATATTCTGAAATAAACCATTTGGGGTCAACTGGAATGGATATGTGGGCCAGCGGGACGCCATCGACAACAGCCTGGTTGACCAGGCAGCCCTCGCAGTCCGGCTGGGGGCTACGAAGGTAGAAAAATTCTGGAAACCGGTCACAGTCATATTACAGAAGTAGACGAAGGAAATGGGTAGAAGGATTAATGGTAGGGGTAGACGGAAGAAGCGAAGTGTTGGCGAGATATCTGAAGGATGTTTTCAGAGGGTCACCGCCCCCCGTGGCCCGGTCCCAAACCAGACCTCCTGGTGGATCAAGGACTGAGGAAGCAGTAAGCAAAAACTGACAACCAGAAGAAAGCCAATACTGTAATGGAGGTGAACACGAAGAGGTGGGAGAGACTGCTAATGCAGAAGGAATAGCAGGGAAAGGATATGGGGGATTGCAGGAGGGTGGGGGATAGTATCGGATTTAAGGAAGAGTGGGTGAAGAGAGGGATTTAAGGAGGGAGGGAGAGCGTGAAAATTGAGAGAGGAGGGGGGAACTTGAGTTAGGTTTGACGGAGAGTGGGGGGAGAGAGAGAGAGAGAGAGAGAGAGAGAGAGAGAGAGAGAGAGAGAGAGAGAGAGAGAGAGAGAGAGAGAGAACGAACGAACTAACTTGGAAAAGACAAATAGCAGAGGACTTCAAAATATAATATAAAATAAAGTAAAATGAAAACTTCATCTGTCCATTCTTCCTGTTAGTCTTATCGCGAGTGTTTTATGTGCTATAACATCATGATCACACTCGACAAAGGCTTTAAAAAGTTTGTTAACTACATCTGCATTCCATTTGTCTTCCCATGCATCCAAGATGATGTCATAATAGTCGAGCAGTTGCACGAGGCAGGAACGACCTGCTCTAAACCTTATTGCTTTGCATTGAGAAAATGTTGTAATTCCATGTGTTTAGCAATCTTTTTTTCTTAAAAATCTCTTAAATTTTTTTGGTAATTTGGGATATCGATTGATAGTTTTTTTTTTTCTTGGGGAAGGGGAGCAATTACTTTACTGTAGCCATAGTTTTTAATGTCTGTGAGATGTTTTCTGTCCTCAGAGGATATTTGAGGCATGCGAGGTTTTTTTTCATTGTGAAGAATATGGAATTTCATGACTCTGAGTACTGGGCAGAGTACATTGTCGTACTCTCAGAGGCCTCTTCGAAGTTGAGTGGGGTTAGGATTATGTCTGACATTTTGGAGATAATGCCAGAGTTTTGTTAATGATTCGTAGAAAATTAATGTGCTTTGTCATTTTTCTAGCCTGATTGACGATTTACTAAACACAGTTACGTTGTGAATTCAGTATTTTGCATATTTCTTTCTTGTCATCACTAAGGGTTTAGTGGTGATAAAAGTGTTGTCGTCATCGGTGTAAGTTCCATCTTGTTTAAGAAAGATGGAACTGCTGTGTTGGTAATTTCTTTTACTTGTCAGTTTTAACATTTTCATGAGGGAACTCTAAACCTGTAAGGGTTATAGAGTGCGTGGATGGAGGAGGAAGTGTAAATAATGATCGTGAAAAGCAGGGATGTCGTAGGCACAATGAGAGAACACCGTGTCAACATCTGGGATCCATGACTATTTAACATGCTTCCAGATATTAGAAATAGTGCCTGGATACCTGCAGGTTACCTGTAATTGCTTTCTCGCCTGCGTGCCAAGGAGTACAGTTCTAGGGACTTCGTAAGTTCCCAGTACATGCAGTGGCGGTTCTGTGTCAACTTTCTTGTTTTGCAACGTCTCCTTCCTTATAAAGGGTCGTTAGTATACAACAGTATTCCAATTTATAGATATTTGAAGATAATTACAACTGGCTGGACATCTCTTGTTTTGAATGTTCTAATTATTCAGTCCATAATTTTCCTTGCGGATACAAGGTTGTGATAGATACGTAGGCAGAAACAGCCTGGTTGAATAATCACTGGGAAAGTAGAGCCTCGGCCCTGCTGCGAGGGCAGAAATGTCCTTGAAACTGGTCGTAGGTATGTCACACACTGTTAATAATACATTTTATATGCGAATAACAAGGCTGGAGCAACAGTTAGCTATGTTTCATTGTTATGTTCCGTCAACATACAAGACCTCTGTTTGGCAACGAGGGTTTTGTCAGGCAGTCACTGTTGATTTAGGGGCTACTGCAGCTGCAAAGATTGTATTCTAAATGGGCTGGCATTAATAGTACTTGAGAAATACCGTGTTGTGTGTGTGTGTGTGTGTGTGTGTGTGTGTGTGTGTGTGATGTGTGTGTGTGTGGTGTGTGTGTGTGTGGTCTGTCTGTCTGTCTGTGTGTCTGTCTGTGTCTGTGTGTCTGTGTGTCTGTCTAAGAGAGAGAGAGGGAGGGAGGGAGGGGGTGGGTAAATAAAATACGTCTTGTAGGGTGTTGGAGATAGTTAAGATGTGTAAGAGGAAGGGGGCGCAGTGGTGAACCTCAGGCGAAAGTTCAATAACAAGCAACGTGGGAAGAATGTACAAAAGTGGAAACAGATGACGTAGCTGATAAAACCTGGAATGCGAATAGAAATGTTAGAGAGGGAGAAGGAGGGGGCACAGCAAGAAATAAAAGATCAGTGAGAAAAATGTCATTCGTGTTGGTAAGCCAAGAGGGGGAAAGAGATTGGATACAAAATAATAGAAATAGTATTTGATACAAGCTAGAGAAATGCTGTTACTCTCCCGCGGCTCTAGTTTTATTGGTTTTTGTGAATGATAATCAAGCCAGTGTCTACCTCACAAAGAACTTCAATGGTATGTCAACACCATTGCCATATAAACAGTCTAGCTGGTCAAGAACGGATTTTGGATTTAACGTTTTGTCGTATGTAATAAAACCTCTTCAAACGCCTTTTTTTTTTTTTAATTCATATGACGCCCGCTAAAACCATTGTTTATTTAGCTGAAGGGGAGATAGAGGCTGGATTCTCGTCAGC